TTTTGAGACGGAGTCTCGCTCTGTCGCCCAGGCTGGAGTGCAGTGGCGCAATCTCGGCTCACTGCAAGCTCCGCCTCCCGGGTTCACGCCATTCTCCTACCTCAGCCTCCCGAGTAGCTGGGACTACAGGCGCCCGCCACTGCGCCCGGCTAATTTTTTTCTATTTTTTAGTAGAGACAGGGTTTCACCATGTTAGCCAGGATGGTCTCGATCTCCTGACCTCGTGATCCGCCTGTCTCGGCCTCCCAAAGTGCTAGGATTACAGGCTTGAGCCACCGCGCCCGGCCAGTTTTTGTTAAAGAAATGAAAAACACGCAGGGAAAATGGCTCACATCTCTTGGCCAGGCTGATCTCAAACTCCTGACCTCAAGTGATGTACCCACCTTGGCCTCCCAAAGCGCTCAGATTACAGGTGTGAGCCACTGTGCCTGGCCCAATCCTCTTAACATAAACACTTCAATGTCAATTAATGCTTGAACTCAACGTTAAGTCAACTCAAACTCAAGTCAACGCTGAATTGACTCTAATGTCAATTAATGCTTGATTGTTTGCTCTACTCATTGCATTTGGAACAACTACCTCCAAAATGAATTTTCTGATATTCTGCAAGGAGTGAACTCAGACTGAAGACCTTGGCACCATGATGACATTTGTAAGATTTCTGTCCAGTATGCATTCTCTGATGTCTAATGAGGTGTGAAGTAAAGGCTTTGCCACAATCATCACACTTGTGAGGTTTCTCTCCTGTGTGAATTATCCTATGTTTTGCATAGGATGAAGCTTGACTGAAGACGTTGCCACAATCATGACATTTGTAAGGTTTCTCTCCAGCATGAGTTCACCGATGAACTGCAAGGTATGAACAACATCTGAAAAATCTGCCAAATTTATTACACTAGTATGATCTCTCTTCATTATGGATTCTCCAATGATTTACAATGGTTGTAGCATTACTGAAGACTTTGTGACAATCATTACATCAGTAAAGTTTACCTACACCACGAAGTGCCTGATGGTAAACAAGTGTTGACTGCCCACTAAAGACTCTGTCACACTCATTACACTTGTAAGGCTTCTCTCCAGTGTGAATTCTAGGATGCTGTGCCAGGTGCGAATCACGCCTGAAAGTCTTGTCACAAACTCTTACATATTTATGGTTTTTCTCCAGTAGGAATTCTCCTATGTCTTTCAAGGTTTGATGTGCGACTGAAAACTTTCTGACATTCTTCATATTTGTAAGCTTTCTCTCCAGTATGAATTCTCCTGTCTTTCAAGGCTTGATTTGCGACTGTAAACTTTGTCACATGCTTCACATTTCTAAGCCTTCTCTCCAGTGTGAATTCTATGATGACCTGCAAGGTGTGCTTGTTGATTAAAAACCTCACCACATTCATTACACTTGTAAGGTTTTTCTCCAGTATGAAGTCTACGATGGCATGTAAGGTATGACTTCTGACTAAAGTTCTTGCCACACTCATTACATTTGTAAGGTTTCTCTCCAGTATGAAGTCTACGATGGCATGTAAGGTTTGACTTCTGACTAAATGTCTTGCCACACTCATTACACTTGTAAGGTTTCTCTCCAGTATGAAGTCTACGATGGCATATAAGGGATGACTTCTGACTAAAGGTCTTGTCACATTCATTACACTTGTAAGGTTTCTCTCCAGTATGAAGTCTATGATGGCATGTAAAATATGACTTCCGACTAAAAGTCTTGCCACACTCATTACACTTGTATGGTTTCTCTCCAGTATGAATTCTCCTATGTCCTTCAAGGTTTGATTTCACACGGAAAGCTTTGTCACATTCTTCACATTTGTAAGGTTTCTCTCCAGTATGAAGTCTACGATGGCATGTAAGGGATGACGTCCGGCTGAAGGTCTTGCCACATTCATTACACTTGTAAGGATTCTCTTCAGTATGAATTTTCTGTTGGATTTCAAGGTTTGATTTGAAACTGTAAGCTTTGTCACATTCTTCACATTTGTAAGGTTTCTCTCCAGTATGAAGTCTACAATGGTGTTTAAGGGTTAACTGCTGATTGAAGGTCTTGCCGCACTCATTACACTTGTAAGGTTTCTCTGCAGAATGAAGTCTACGATGGCATGTGAGGGATGACTTGTGACTAAACGTCTTGCCACACTCATTACACTTGTAAGGTTTCTCTCCAGTATGAAGTCTACGATGGCATGTAAGGTATGACTTCCGACTAAAGGTCTTGCCACACTCATTACACTTGTACGGCTTCTCTCCAGTATGAATTCTCCTATGTCTTTCAAGATTTGATTTGAAACGGAATGCTTTGTCACATTCTTCACATTTGTAAGGTTTCTCTCCAGTATGACGTCTACGATGGCATGTAAGGGATGACGTTCGGCTAAAGGTCTTGCCACACTCATTACACTTGTAAGGATTGTCTTCAGTATGAAGTTTCTGATGTATTTCAAGGTTTGATTTGAAACTGTAAGCTCTGTCACATTCTTCACATTTGTAAGGTTTCTCTCCAGTATGAAGTCTA